TATGCTACCATGAATTGCGTCTGACTCCATTACTTGACTCCATCCTTTAACTCTCATGCTCTCTATAACTTTTCTATAATCTCTACTTATTATCGCTGTACAATTGCGCCTACCGAACCTGTGATGTTTTGTAGAGTTCCCTCTTCTCCTTAACCCCACAATCCACCAGTCACCTCTATGACTCAGTCCTTTGTGGACCATTCAGTTCACATCCAGCAAACCTTCGACATCTAGTTACTCATCGAGTGCCATCGAGACAGCAGGCGCTGCGCTAACTAACCTCTAGGGATAACGAAGTGCGAGACACGGTTGTGATGAGCCTCGGTGTGATGTCAGCCTCTTAAATTGTGGAGGCAATGGTGGCACACTTGTGGCAAATACATGGAGGGGCCATCAGCAGTCTTGGAAGGAGACCCCCCCAAAGTGGCAGAGTCAGAGTGAGACATAGGGGGCGTGCTCTGATTAGCGTGAACCAAGGCCTGGAGCATTAAGAGTCCTGTCCTGGACATAGTGGATTATCGTGGGTTCATGGTGGAGAAGGAGAAAGGGGACTGGGGAGGGAGGGAACGAGAGGAGGAGATGGAGAAGAAAGTGAGGGCTGGATTCTAGGATGATGTTTAGCATTTGTCCCAAGAGCAATACTCAGTCAGCCTTTCTGTGGGTTTCTTGTGCTTCACCTTACTGAGCTCTGCAAGGGAGATTGTGTTCTGTGCCATTGAACAATGAAAGAAGGTGTGAATTTAGGCCAATGGATTCCAGAGGCACTGACTTCCTTCTCTACTAGTATCGCCGGCATCTGACACTGAAAGCAAATGCTCAGCAAAAGAGCAACTTTACTAGAGGTCAAGGTTTCCACGGCTCTATCAGATCGACCCACACATTGCTCCATCAACCGCGCCCCTCTTCCATAGGTCCCGAAGGCCACCCCGAACTTTAAGCAAACCCAGGCTGCTTCTCGGAGGTCTGTTGACCATGAGAAAGCAAACTGTACCTCGGCGGCCTTCATCGGATGAAGCTCATCCCCATGGAAGTTAATCTGCAAGCCTATGTCTTTTCCACCTTGCAGAATCCTCCTGGTGGAGTCGAGGTCAAAGACGCCCTTTTCACAGAAAACATCTATGTTGTCCACGTGGACTTCCCCACTGCTGCCAAGTGCCTTCAGCGTCGGGAGGTGGTGCTTGACAATGTCCTCAGCAGCTTCAGTGGCAGTTTTGCCTCTGAGGGAGGACAATAAGATGGCCACGGGAAAAGAGTAACCAAATTGTTAAAAAAGACTCGGAGAAAGGGTCATTTGGCCCATGGAGAACTTGAGGAACATAACCTCAAGTCTCAGAAAGGTAAAATGAGGACCAAAGTTAGCATTCAGAATTCTTAACATGCTTACATGACAGCGGGGTAGCTAAGACTTCTGCATGGACTGACCCCAGACCCAGAGGCCTGAATGACCCTTGATTATGGCACGTCAAAGTGGCCTCTGGGGGGAGCAGCACGGCAATCTAGCTGAGAAATAGAATCTTCCCCTCAGGCGGATTCGCTGGCAACCCGACTGTGGACCCCTTACTTTGACCCCAGCTGTCTATCACCTTTTGCTTCCCCTGGACTGTTTCCCAAAGCCTCCGCCTAAGACTCTCTGTCTTACTTTTTGTTAAACAGGGGTGGAACTGGGGGAATAATCCTGAAATTCTCCTAAAATCCTGAGGGTGTTCTATATTAGAAAGGGCATAGGTTTTGAAATCAGATAAACCCAGCACTCGAACGCTTGCTGGCTACAGGACTTGGGCTCTGAGCCTCAAAATGTATCAGTGGAATCAACAATCCGATGGAAGAAATGTCTGTAAAACTTGAGCACACGGATGGGTCTCACTCAGCCAATGGCTGGATTTTGCTGGAGGTCAGCTAAGACAGGTGTCTACTGGTATTGTTTGTGATTCTTAATGTAATCATATGAATAGGTTGCTATTTAGCTCTGTGGAGCCCTGGCTGTGTAGTGGTTATATGTTGGGCCTAACCACAAGGTCAGCAGTTCGAAATCACCAGCAGCTCCAAGGGAGAAAGATGAGGCTTTCTACTCTCCTAAAGAACTGTAGTTTCTTACAGGGGATAACAAACCCAGGGACAAGGGAACAACAAGCGATCCAAATTGGTGGGGAGGTGGGTGTGGGAGACCTGGTAGGGCAGGATCA